CTTTTTTGAAACTGATGCAGAAATTATTGTTACTAAAACTTGTTCCCTCCCTAAGTTTCTCAAACGATCCAAAGCAGTTTGCTTACAAACAGGGTAGAAGTACTTTGGACGCTGCTGCTGTGTTTCATCACAACATTGTATCCTCCTTAGACAAAGGAGCAAAGTATGTCCGTTGTACGTTCCTTGATTATACATCTGCTTTCGACTCTGTACCTAGAGGCCTGTTGTTAAACAAGCTTAGCCTTACACAAACTGAGCCCTGGGCTATCAACTGGCTACACTCTTACTTCTCTAATAGGATGCAGTACATGGTATATAATGGTGTATCTTCCTCTCCTTTGCTTACTGAAGCTGGAGTTCCTCAGGGTGCTGTCCTCTCTCCGTTTCTCTTTTCCTTCTTCTTGCATGATTTACCTCTTTCAGACGAAATCAACTTCGTCAAGTATGCAGATGACCTGTCTGTATCATTTCTCATTAAGTCTCAATCAGACTGTTTCAAGTTAAATAGCTTCCTGTCGGACATCAGTCAGTGGTCTGAACTAAATGGTCTCACACTGAATCCCTCAAAACGTCAGACTATTGACTTCTCCCTTAGGCATAAACGAGATCTACAAACACTAGTAAGTTCTCATGAAGCCTGTAGCATTGAGGGGACTAAAATTGAAACTAAGTCTGATGCAAAATACCTCGGTCTACTTCTGTCTTCCGACCTTACTTGGACATCTCATATCGTAACGATTTCTAAGAAAGTGTTCTGTCTAACCTACTACATTAAGAAACGAAGACAATCCGGAATCACCCAACCTCTACTTTCACAATTTGTCAACTCTTGTATCTTACCTATTCTACTTTACTGCTCCCCGTTAGTCTTTTCTGGGCTAATGAAAAAGGACTATACCATCGTGAGAAGGATGTTGAAGGTAGTCATTAGGACCAGTGGTGTAAAACTCAGTCAGCTCGTCACTTCATTAGTAGAAAGGCATCTGAATACATGCGAAAAATGGTCCAAAACCCAACTATCCGACCCCCAACACCCCCTCTATTCCCAACTCTCTCCTTGTATCTCATCAGGTAGAACCAGAAATCAGTACAAAATAATATACGCTCGTGCAACCAAGTATAGGAACTCAACGATACCATATTTCACCCGTGTTCTAAGTGACAGAGACAATGTTAAGCTCGAAACCTATGACTTGCTTTGTTATTAACAACATAATTTTAGGCCCTTTTATTTTTCTCTTATTTTGTATTCTATGGTGAACTCCTTCTTAAACATACTTAGCTACCTAAATTATTAACATTGGCTTCCTTTTTGTACTTTATTCTATTCCTTCTTTTGTGTGTCTACTGGTTCCGACTATATTAGCTCTATGAGTAGTACAAAATTGTCCTGTCACTAACCATCATGTAATTATTAGTTTTGTGGTTGTTTTTTCTCATTTTTTATTTTTTCATTTTTCTTTTCGGCAATACTAAACTGACAACCATTGGTTGTGAACGCCATTGTCACTACCTTAAAAATTTTGTATTATGCAGCATTACTCACACTACTACTACAAACACTGCATTAGACCTGACAATAAAAAACAAAACAACAACCCTGAAATGTTATTTTATGATTGTTTACAGTTGTTTCAACCAAATTAACTGATCATCTTGGCAATAAACATTCTTAAATATCATTTCATAACTTCTTGTGTGACTATAGCTTTACTGTCACCATGCATAATCATATCATTGCCTCCACTACCCAATACTGAGATATTATTTTATATTGTTTATTTTCCTTTCTATATCTTGGTATTTTTTAGTATTTAAAAAAATTATTTTGTGTTTTTCCTGTTTTTTTGCTGTTGGTGTCTTTATATTTATTATTTTTTTGAAATACTCCTTTTAAATGTCTGATAAAACTAGATGCAAATATTGTAGAAATGTGCTGAAAACTCCACACTGTATCACTAGTACTGTTTCTGGAATAGAGCAAATTATTATTATTATTAACTTCCGATATGCTTGTCCCATTCAGACCAGACAAGTGTTTGTAAGTGAAGTCAAAACACTCTCTTAGAACCTATTTCGAGATCAAAACTGAAGGGCCTTGATGGTTGCTCTGCTAGGCAAACTGCGTGCACGTACAACGCTACGTAAAACGAAAACGCTTAAGAAGGCATCAATATTTATCAAGAAATCTGTTTACACTGCAAATATTATTGTTTTGTTTAAGCTGTTTTGTATTTATCCTATTTTTTCATGCAATAATCTTTGTACTATGAATAGCGTATTTTGTCTAAGAGAATTAGCTCATAACTGCACGCATAAATAAGTTTTGTCATCTGTGTTAAATCAACTCTAATGTGTAAAGAGGTTCACAGACAACATATACAACTAGATGATTGTGATGAAAAAACAACTCCTTTGACGTATGATAACACCTGAGAGATAGAACATACTATGATCAGTCGATATAGTTTACAAATCGACAGATGATAATCACGCTGGTGATTATTGACAAACTTAGGTACATATATATATGTGTACATAAGCATAAATATATGATGATTTTCTAAATTATGAAACAGAGGTGAACAGTTGAATTATATAGGTGAAGTATATTGTATGCCGTTTTGCTCAGGTATGTTTGATTCTTTAAAATCTATGGATCTCCGTAATGAGGTGATGGTTTATGTCCGTTTGGTTTTTATACTTAATCTACTCCACTGTTATTATTGTCAATAATTTTATCATCCATCTATAGTCTTCCAAGTGGAGAATATGTCCTCAGGAGTACACTTCCATGTTCCTTTCAGTCGGTTTCACGGCTTTTCACAGGCTTCCGTTTCCTCATCATAAGGTCTTTTCCATGTGAATCCCCTTCTAGTTCAACTCCAGGGCATGGCGTCTGGTATCACTTGAATAGCTCTTCAGAGTGTAAATCGAATTCATCTCCATTTAATTCTGTATATTTCTTGGGTTATAGTTTCTTGGTTGGTTCACTGCCACAGTACCATGCTAATAATTATCCGCACTATGATTTTCAGTATTGAGTGAAGGCAGATGACGATGGTGAAAGTCTTTCCTGATTGCAAATACTCTAGAAGACGCACCAGCTCTTTGAACTACATAGATGATGCACTGACGTGACATCATATTTCTTGAGATGGGTGCTGTAGATCTTCACACTGGCTCTAACGTTTTAAACCGCTGCCATAATTTCCTGACCCCTCCCTGGATTTGAAGCCATGATCCGTGCCACCTGTATTTGAAACACTTCTGACCAGGTAGTTTTCTTATATATTTACACATGCATGGAATTTAGATATCACTACGGAATGGAATTGCAGGTCGATTTCAGTTTTATCCACAGAGAATCATGCGGCTGTAGCTTTTAGGAGTTAGATTTAAAGTGTTCATTAACTGCATGCCTTTTAGTCTTAACTACAAGGTTATTATTATTGTTCCCTTGGGTTCCTAGTGGAACATAGGACTTTAACTGCACGTCTCCACTTGCTTCTGTCTTCTGCTGTACTTTTCACTTGCATCCATGTTAGTCCATACTGTTTCAACTCCTCTTCACACGATCTCCTCCATGTCACCCTTGGACGTCCCACTCGCCGCTTCCCTTTCGGGTTCCACTCGAGCTATGTCCTGATGCGCGATGTCACCCAGCGGTCTCCTCAGCGAGTTTCCAATCCATCTCCACTTTCTCCTGCATATTTGTTGGGCGATTGGTTCTTGTTTTGTTTGTTCCCATAGTTTCTTGTAGGTGATTCTTTCCAGCCATCTGATCTTCGGTATAGAACGAAGACAGTTGTTGATAAAGGTCTGCAACAGGCTGTTGGAAATATTCTTTGTGACTCGCCAAGTTTCTGATCCGTATAGAAGATACTGACTTGACGTTTGTATTGAAAATCCGAATTTTGTTGTTGATGCAGGCTGAGTGACGAAGATTTCCAGATTGGTTTCAGGTTGATGAATGTGTTTCCCGCCTTCCCGATTCTCGATTTGACATCCTCGTCCGTTCCTCCTGTAGTTGAGACAATGCTCCCTAGATAAGTGAATGAAGTAACCTCTTTCAAATCCCTCCCGTTGATGGTGATTGGAGCTGGATGTTGCTGCTGCTGTTGTTGTTGTTGGTTGGTTATTTTCATAACTACAAGGTTACCTTTGAAAAATTAAACTTTGCAGATACGCCTTATCAAACTTTCGTTTCATGGTGATGCATCCTTGTTGAGAATTAAGAAGCAGTCAGCCTTTTAGAATGAGAAAACAACAAATTTTAATGGGCAGATATAGCCAGTATCGTAAGTCATGGTATTCACTTCAGTTGAATTAATTGCTCAGTTATTAGTGGTTCCACGTTTATTTATTTATAGCGCAAATTAAGTCACATTGAGGTTTCTGAGATTCTCCATGGTATTAATTCCGAAGCACTAGTTTTCTTGCGTCCGTGGTACAGCACTCATAAGTCCCGCTTATTCGGTAGATATCCTGTTGAAGAGGGGAGGTTGGGTGTGAGACTAGTAACCCTGGGTTTTAAAAAAAGGTTAACACCGCTGCTACCAAAACTTTAAGACTTAAGCTTGAGGCTCTGTGTTCCATTCGGAACGGAGAGGAATAAAAAATATAAAGTAGATACTGATTTTCTCAGAGAACCATGTCGAAGTTTACACAGAAAAGTGACTCTCAGAAGTTGTCCGACTACCATAATTCTGTATTAGAAATCGTAATCTTCTCAAGAAGCCATATTCAGATTCATTTCAAAGGATTCGCAGTACATTTGAGAAAGTCCGTTCATACAGGGATGTATATATATAGTACTATATTTCTCAAGTTTTTTACAATTGTCATAGATTTTTTCTGATTTTGTTATTATTTGCATTTGTCAGCAGATACATCAACATTACTTCAATTCTTCATATCATTATGTATCAACATAAATCTTCCAAGAACTTGAAACATAATTGTTTGACAGAACAACCCTTACCTGTCAGCCATTATGTATGGGTAAGGTAGTCATGGTTTCTCATACTTGGTTTTATTCTCAGTTCTCAGTCGATATAGTATGGATGACGACGATAACAGTTGCGATCTTCATTTTATCAACCAAAATGTAGGCCTAAATTCAAATAAACATGTATGTGCTTTGTAGATGTGTTATTTGCCAATTCTTTATGGATTATACCTATGTGAAATATATTATTTTGTAAGTTCTCTATCGAACATGATTGATCTTGGAATTTCAAGACAATTTTACAGCGTCAACTGGACTTTGCAAACAGAAGTGTCACATAAATTCCATATTACAATTGACAAATTTGATAGCAGAACACTGGCTAATTTACCAACCGATAATAATATGATTCCAGCTGTATTCCTCAAGATGAAATCCAGTAATTAGGCAAGTTGTTCAGTTGATGAAAATGAGAAAGGAATAAAGGTGTCAGAGTTATTGGAATTGATCTAAGCTATGATTAGCGAATCCAGATGAAACAAGTACTTTAGAGAAACACTCAGACATCTGGATGCATGCATCAGCACAAAACCAGAAAACTGGGCGACACAGAATATTAGTACTGCAGAGCAATTCACGCAATATTTCACTTGATGTTTATTTCTTCATCAAATCAACACGCAAAATGTGCTATGCGAGTAATTTAGTAGAGACGCAGGTGATAGTGCAAAATGTTACAGCCAATGGATTGTAAGAAGGAAGAATATCGAGACGATTTAAGTAACGTTAGCGAAGAAGCAGAGTAATTTGTTTTAAAAAGTATCGTAGACAGATGAACAATACTGCATTATTTATTGCCTATCAGTCACAATCATTCTACCATGAAATCGAATTCTGTTACATTCAACAATTGTATTTCTGCATTCATTCGGAACATTAAGGGTAGATGTGATGAAGATGAATTCCACTGTGTTGTGTTAGATTGCTTCACTTAAACGGCTTCATCGGATATGATTATAGTCTTTCAATGTAGATTTCTCTACTAACCAATATTGTGGAGCGCTGTACAGCTGTTTTATCCTAGTCCAGGTCCTTTCAGCAGTATGCTGGATGGATGTCCTGAGGCTGTATTGAGACGTAGTGACCAGTGAGGTCTACTGTGTTGAGGTGAAGTGAATACTAATAAAAGGTATTGGTTGAGGGTAGTACTACTATATCACGAATGCTCAAGGTTGGAATCCACCAGTCATCGAATTCCGGTCTCAGTGACTGAGAGGTCAGTGAGCTTACTGTCATAATCTGACGGTTCTTGATTTGATTCATGGTGTAATATCGGGTGTGCACTACTGAAGAGTCTGAAAATAGGACAAAACAGTTGTCCAGTGCTGTCTGGCTTTCAATGACCTCTGTAACTGATTTTGTTTCGTGAAGAAATATGCATTGAAACTAACTAAAATCCCTACATAGAAAACCGTAGTTTGAATATTTTAGTTTTTATTAGCTTGCGTGTGAGGCGTTATCTAATTTCAAATTCAGTAGATTTAAGCAGTAAGCATTAGCTTACCCTGATTAGACACTAACGAGCGTCATGCGTCTAGTCCTTTGTTTGTTGGCGTAGTCTGAATTCCGTCAGTCGAGTTTGCAGTGTGATCATTATGTTCAGTTGCTGGCCATCATGGTGCACTCAGAACTGCTGGTATTGGGTATTTCGAGGCAAACGACAGAAAGCCTCTCAGCTAGTTTTCCTGCCTGTTATCATTCACCAGTAACTGAGGTGTACCTACGATCTTGAGGAAACACATGCCACCTCAGACATTCAAACCCCAGCCACCCAGTGCTACAGTCAGCGATGTTACCATTGAGCTATTTGAGCTCTAATCAAAGTATCAAATTCACTTCTACAGGAAGTCAATAAAGGAGAGTTTGAATAGCTCAGTGGTAACATCTCTGACTGCAGTACTGGGTGGACTGGGTTCGAATCTCAGGGGAGACATGAGTTTCCTCAAGATTGTATATATACGACTTAATGGCTGGTGAGTGCTAACAGGCACAAAACCTATGTCGCATCCTCCCTACCGATTGTCTCCAACCACCTAGTAAGCATTGAACTACTACTACTACTACTTGTGTACTACGACATAATCTGAAGTAATCTCTCAATGAATAATTTCGATCAAATTTATTATTATGGCTGAGATGATTTGTATAAATGTTTGTGAATTCGTTTTAGGTTAGTCAGTCTTATTCCATTGATTCTTATTATGGCTGTGGAAAAAATTCAGCTGCGGTGTCTGATTGTTCGTATACTACTTGGAATAACGGTAAGTATGACTCTTATCTCATCTTACATGGTAGCGTGAGGATTTGTACTGGTTTTGATTTGGTTGTGTTCTCTGAGGTGGATAATTAATTTGCGAAGCTTTCATCACCCTACTGGGTGACATCTTCAGCGCATACTTCAATTTGAAGTGAGCTTTCACATTTCTCCACGAGTTTATTAATCATCTCTCCTGGCGACCTTGGACGTGATTGGTTGTTTTTGTGTGTTTTCACACCTTCTAGGTTACTTGTATTGTCAGTCATTGTTTCTTTGACTTGAACTTTGACCCTTTGTTTGTGACGTTTCTTTCTTATCGGTTGATAAATTTTGTCTATCTCGATGTGTCTATTGATTGATGATTCACTGGATTGCCAAGCTTCTAAAAATTCTCTAGCATTCTTGTTGTTTCCTCTGTCTAATATTTGAACATTGTCCCAGTCGAATTGATGTCCATGGTTGTCTGTATGTAGTGATATGAGGGAGTGGATATCATGTCTTTTGACAGCTAGCTTATGTTCGTGGATACGAAGACGAAAGGGACGTCCACTTTGGCCAATGTAGTGTTTTCCGCAGTTGATACAATCTATTTTGTAGATGATGTTGGTTTTATTTTCTTTCGCTGTTGAGTCTTTTGGTTGACATAAAATTGAGTGGAGTGACTTTGTTGGTTTGTGTACGACGTCAATTCCTAAAGGTTTGACGAGTCTTGCAGTGATTTCTGAGATGTCCTTTATATATGGTAAGGCGATTTTCTTTGTGCTTTCCTTGGGGGCTTTTGGTTTGATAGGTTGGCTTGGGGGTATATGTCTTTTGATGAAATTCCGTGGATATCCATTCTTTTGGAAGACGTCCATGAGATATCTCTCTTCGATTTTCCTTAAGGTGGGAGTGCTGCAATGAATCCTGGCTGACCCTCTTGAATAGTGTTTGTATGCAATTCCTCTTGTGTGCTATTGGATTGTTACTGTTGTAATTCAGGATTTGGTCTGTGTGAGTTGATTTTCTGTAGACTTGAGTTTCTAATTCTCCTGTTGTTGTTCGCTTGACTAAGACGTCCAAAAATGGGATTTGGTTTTCTGATTCCTCTTCTCTTGTGAATTTGATGTCGTTGAAGACGTTGTTTATCAGGTTGTGAGCTTTATCTAACTCGTTTCTTGTACTGGTTTGAACGGAAAGGTTATGAATGGCAGCTGTGATGTTTTGAAAGCGTCTATGCTCTTCACTTAAATTTTAACGTAACCATGACTGAGATTCAAACGACAACATGATCATTACTATTCAAAGAATGCAAGTGTCATAATTATGATCGTTGTCTGTCTTTAATCAGAAAGTGTTAGATCAAAGGTGTCGACTGGGAAAATACTGTTTCCGTAAACACTTGTAAACACGGAAAAACAATATCAGTTAATCAAAATTTAATGAGTATATACTGGGAGATGTATTATTAGAACAAGATATATAAGCGAACAATATTGTTTTCAATTAGATCTTCTTCAGGCTTTACTCTAATTTACATAGATTTAAATATGACAATTTTAACCAATGACGGTGATTTTGGGAATCAAATAATAATAATGTGGTAAATGTTTTAAACGAAATTAATAAGGATGATTATAATGATAACAAAATATTGATAATAAGGTTTGTGCAGGTGATAAGAATAACAAAGGTAGTAATATGTGTATGTGTGTATATGTAGACAATTCAATAAATAAATAAATTAGGTCAAGTCTTAAAAGGTGAAGTGGAATGATAATCAGAGTTTAAATAAATATCATAAAAGTACGAAGGAGATGGAAGATAAGAAAGGTTAGGGGGGGGGGTTGAATAGAATTCACCTAGGCAAGCAAGGGAGAGACAAAGGTGGAACAAACTTCTTTTGTTGTATGTAAAGACTAGGATTGTTCTCTCGAATTAATTCTCATAGCTTCAGCCGTGTGTAAAAGACGGGTTCTGATTCCGTACGAAAGACTCGATGGAATGCGATAGATAACTTTGAAGGCACTACTTTTGTTCACTTGGTGACCGCTATCAGTCAAATTAGCCAAAATAGTACTTCGTATGGATTTTATTTGACCTTTTCCGAACCACGAAGGAGGATGCTCACTAATGCGTTTGTTGAGCTGTCTAGTTGTTCTCCCTATTTAGCTTTCTCCACAGGAGCAACTAAATTTATAGATACACATCGAAGTGACACAACTAGGTAGCTTATCTTTCACTTGAGCAATCAAAATTGGTCGGCTGGAAAATGACAAACAAAGGGTGGCGGCAGTATAAGTTCGTTTTATCGCTCTCGATAATCTCAGATGTAAGACTTCGCTAGCCACGTCCCCATTAAATTGCAATTTCATGAACAGTTGTTTCTTTTTAACTGTTGTCAGTTTTTTTTTATTGTACCTGGTATTCATGTGTCTCCTTACAAATCTACTATGATAACGCATTTGGACCAACGTATTTTGGATATATCCTAGCTCATTTTCTAGGGAGTCATCGGTACAGATCCGTCTTGCTCTATTCGTGAGGCATCTGACCAAATTGATTTTGTATCGGATTGGTACAAAACTGAGGAAATGTATATATTGTCCTACAGATGTAGGTTTTCTATAGACATCTCTCTTGAGTGAACCATCCTCTCTTCTGCTCAATTGGACGTCAAGGAAGTGTAGTCTACCATCATGTTCTTCTTCACAAGTGCGGATGAGCGATGGGTGTGCATCATTAAATTTTATTAACACTTCGTACTTGTCAGCTTTCACATCAAGAATAATAAATGTATCATCAACATAACGAAAATAAGAATCAGTTTTATCTATTACTTGTTTCACTGGACCATTTTCAACCTTAGCAAGAAAGAAATCTGCCAAAATCGGAGCCGATGGGGAACCTTTGGCAATACCGTCGATTTGTCTGCAATAAAGGTTGTTGAATGTGAAGTGTACATTCACAGTACATCTTAAAAGGAACTCTTTCAGACTAATAACTGGAATACCGATGTCGATCTGTTTTCCACAGTCTCCGTTTTTGCCCTCGATGATAGTTTAGGAAACACATAGATGTACAGTTAAACTGCTAACTACCAGTCTGAATAAAATCAAATTAGAGTGCCACTCATTTGTTGATCATTGGCTGTCTGAAATAGTCGCCATAATTTTAGTTTCTTGACTAGTGTCTGGCAAATTAACGGAGTTGGTTCTGTCCAAACAATAGGATATACGCATTAAGTCATATAAACGAACAAAAAGATAGCTGAAGGAAAGAAAAATCTTTTCTTTCCAACTAAGGCGTCATCTACATTAGTAAATATATAACAATAAGGTGATAAATTTCTGGAACTGTCTCTGGTCAGAGGTGAAAAGATAACGAGTAACAAGATGAAGTTACCTAATATAAATATTGATTGAAAATAAGGCCGAAAAATAAACAAGAAGTTGGAATAAACATCTGTCTTTCCATGCTTTTACATTCTGGTTGGAATAAAAGGCTTCAAGCTTGAGCTCTGAAGTTTTAGATGCAGTGGATGAACAGGCTGAAATCACTTCTTCTGAAATTTCAGATCGCTAGTGCTTCAGCCACGCCCAGATGTTTCGATCTCACATTCTTAGTGGGGTTTAGTCTGATCTTGTTTGAAACTTTGAAGGATTTCTGTAATGGAACTGAGTATTCTGAATTCACGGAATGTTGCGTTATCCAACTGTGGATATACTTCCGTTCTGTGCATCTACGGCATGCAGAAGGTGTGTATATATGTTCCACACCACCCAATACTAAATATGATACGTTCTAATCATTACTCAGTCATGAAGAGGCTGCTAGAGATTCTTGGTTCAGGATGCGAGAAGCTATCGAGGTGAAGTCCTCGAGACATATGTGATTTTTTCGATTGGATTATGGGTGTCAGTGTGGCCAGGGTTTCCTTAGATGGATGTCACTTTTGTTTTGACTAATGTTCCACCGAAATAGATAATCTGTTTTGTTAAGCGATTTCATTCAGTTTCTGTTTCGATGCACTTCCAATCTCTTGGAGAAATATGGCGAACAAACGTGAATACATTTCAGTGATTATTTATGCATGTTTTTCTATCTGTGTTAAATTCTAAGCGACGGTGAAAAAAGATTCTATTACGAATTGTTTGATTTGTATTTTGAACAAGTTGGTATTTGAAATTTCTGCGCATAATAAACATACTATTTGCTTATTTATCAGTAATTAATTATTCAGTAATTATTGCCATCTAATTTCCACCTTGTTATAGGTTTCAATGTGGTCTGTATTCGTGGCTGCTTTATTTGGACCCGTTAACCTAATATATGTTTACATATCGCTGGCTGTGACTACTGTGATAGTGATTATAACAGTCGTGCTGGCTATGAAGCTACCACCTCTCAATAATAAAGGATTCTCTGTTTTCTTGGTGATACTGATGACTTTTATATTATTGGCAAGCGCTGCAATAATTTGCGGATTATTCATCCGTCACGAGGTAACTTCATTTGGAAAATTGGAGTGTATATTAGAAGAGAGCGGAAGGTTTACTGGGCTCACTTGTTGAGTAGGATTACCTTTTCACTCTGCATCGTTCCGAAATGTTTTCCTTCCGGTGACGTCCCTCGCAATTTCACTGAACGGAATTGAAAGTCAGCTGTTTATTTATTGGAAGCAATCAGATATATTAATTGCTAATTTGGTTCAGATTCACTCTCCACAGATGTGATGCAGGCCTTATAAATGATGACAGATTAACTAGGCAGCGTCTGATGGTTACCTAACTGACAGCCAAATATACGACATGAATCTAATTAACTGTCTAGATGGAGAGATTAAGTTTTTGGTATAATATTGAAGTGATAGATTAGTAATTGATGCGACATACATTGGCCTACATCCATACGATTTACTCTTTACTGTAAAACTTGTGAACATTTCTGTCCACTTAATTCAACATGGTTCGTTGACGGCAGTTTTCGAAGACATTATTAGTCGTCAGCTATGCATATACCGATATTTGAGAATATCCGTATGACAGTATAGTTTTTATCAATATATATGTGAATATTTTTATGTGTACAGACGAACAAAACATCAATTTCTGACATTTTGTAAATAATCTATTCTTTCTGATTTTGCTTGTTTGTACCTAGGCAGTCACTATTTTACAAGGAGTATTTTCTGGCTTATTTGCAGTCTTGGTAAGTTGATGATTTCCCCAGCATAATCAACGTCATTGTCTTTTAAGTGTAATAAATGTAATAATAACAGATTTATTCTGAAAAGTGCATTTAGACACAGTATAGATTTTTTCAAGGGGTTTCACAGCACGGTGTTTTCTCCTTGTGTAGAATCTTCTAATAATATAATAGCCGATATAATAATAATTTGCTTTATTCCAGAAACAGTACTAGTGGCACAGTGTGGAATTTCCAGCACATATCTACAATATTTGCATCTAATTTTATCAAACATTTAAAAGGAGTATTTCAAAAATAAATATAAAAACAACAACAAAAAAAAAACACAAAAATAATAAAAAATGCAAGAAAAATACCAAGAAGTAGAAAGGAAAATAAACAACATAAAATAATATCTTAGTATTGGGTAGTGGAAGCTATGATATGATTAAGCATGGTGAACAGTAAAGCTACAGTCATACAAGAAGTTATGAAGTGATATTTAAGAATGTTTATCGCCAGGATGATCAGTTAATTTAGGTTGAAACTACACTAAACAATCATAAAATAACATTTCAGAGTTGTTTTTTTATCAGGTCTAATGCAGTCTTTGTAGTGGTAGTGTGAGTAATCCTGCATAATACAAAATTTTAAGATGTTGGTAATGGCTTTGACAACCAAGATTGTCAGTTAATGTTGCCGAACAAAAAAAACAACAACATTCACAAAACTAATAATTACATGATGGTTAGTGACAGGACAATTTTGTAATACTCATAGTGTTAATATAGTCGGAACCAGTAGGTATACAAAAGAAGGAGTAGAGTAAAGTACAAAAAGTAAGCCAGTGTTAATAATTTAGGTAGCTAAGTATGTTTAAGAAGGATTTCACTATAGAATACAAAGTAAGAGAGAAATAAAAGGGCCTAAAATTATGTTGTTAACAACATAGCAAGTCATAGGTTTCACGCCTAACATTGTCTCTGTCACTTAGAACACGGGTGAAATATGGTATCGTTGAGTTCCTGCACTTGATTGTATGAGCATAAATTATTTTATACTGATTTCTGGTTCAACTTGATGAGATACAAGGAGAGAGTTGGGAATAGAGGGTGTGTTGGGGGTCGGAGAGTATGGTTTTAGACCACTTTTCGCATGTATTCAAATGCCTTTCTACTAATGAAGTGACGAGCTGACTGAGTATTACACCACTAGTCCTACTGACTACCTTCAACATCCTTCTCAGGATGGTATAGTCCTTTTTCAGAAGCCCAGAAAAGACTAATGGGGAGCAGTAAAGTATAGAGAGAGTTGACAAATTGTGAAAGTAGAGGTTGGGTGATTCCGGATTGTCTTCGTTTCTTAATGTAGTAGGTTAGACGGAACACTTTCTTAGAAATCGTTAGGATATGAGATGTCCAAGTAAGGTTGGAAGATAGAACTAGACCGAGGTATTTCGCATTAGACTTAGTTTCATCTGAAGTGATATCGTTTCATCCTAAACATTTCCCGATACCAACCACAATGCTGTTCCTCCATTTCTTAAGCAAAAAATTCCTAGTGATCGATGGAAACCTACTTGAAATTGTGCGCGGGTATATACCGGAGTTATTGTGGTAGTTAGGTGATTAAAACAATGTGAAACAGAGTGAATGCAATGCATTCTGATGTATAGAAAATCTAGGTAGTCCGGCGATTTAGACACACCACCCATAAATGTTTCCAATTGCTATTACATACAGATATCGCATATGCGGCATTATTATCTCTGTGAATTAGTCATTTGTAATAAGAAGTTTAAAAGTTAGTTTTATTTATATTTGTATTATATTATATTTTGATTTACAGCTTGATTCCACACCGTATTTTCAGTACAAGTGTGGAACTTTCAGCATGGATATCGGTAGCCCAAATTCAGGCCGACCATAGATATCGGGTGCGCGCCGGCAGGGGATCGAACCCCGGACCATGTGCATGGTCGGCGAGAGTCCTAACCACTGTGTTGGTCATCAATTCCACTGCAACTGTATTTTACAGAGGTTAACTTTCATAAACAGGTAATTAGAATTTGTAAAACCTGTTCCATTTTGTGAATTTCTGAGCACTTATAGAAATGACAAATAGTCTTCTCTGTGTGTGAAAAACATCTTTTATCTGTTCACTTTACAGGCAATGTTCATCTGTCTCAATATACAAGGAATAATTGTGAAGACTCTTTCATCTCCTTGCTCAGTATGCTTTCTAGCATTTATCACATGGTGTCTAATTCTATGGCTGTTCACACAAATATTACTCTGCTTTCCATCATGGCGTGATATGCAGTGTTGAGGTAAAGGACAGATTCTTCAGAGTATTTTGCCCCAGATGTTTTTCAGTTTCTTTTCAACAGGCTTGTTGATTATCCTTTTATTCGCTTCTGTTTTGAGATTTTCTATTCACGAATGTAAAGGTTACTTATAATTCACTTTCAGCATTGTGTGATACTCTGGTATTCTGAAAAACTGGAAATCAGTGAAATGTTTTAAGATAATTGGATCTGAAAATGAAATGCATGGAATTTATGTTCTGTTAGTTTGCTTATTTGACGTCTTCTCCATTGTCATTTAAGTGTATGATAGAGGTGTCTTACTTTGTGTGTGTGGTCAATCGCTCAGTGTTTACCCGTATAAACAATTAAGAAGGATGCTAAGGTAGTAAAGAAAGTAGCCGTGGTACCTAATAATATCTCCGACTAATTTGCAGTTCAATTACTCAGCGATTCAAGCAGTGTATATGGTTCGATCATCTCACTGTACACCGTGTCGGTTCATCAGTAGTGTGAAGTACAATAGATTGATGACAGAAAAAGAAGTGACTTTATTGCAGAAATAGAAATTGTTATATCAGAGATACCTTCTTCTCAAATTATTTTATAAATAATGCTTCTCAATCGTCAGATGATGATTGAAGCCAACAAAATGTTGGAAAATAACTGGAACAACCACTTTTCTTTCACTGTTAACGGAAGTTTGCGGCCCGTGTTGATTTTTTAGATTGCCAAAAATTCAAATAGCACATATTTCGAAACGATTAGTCATGGGCTCCGTCGATTCTCTAAGTTCCAACCTCTTTGAATGCATTTCAAGAATACAGAAACTATATGAAATGAAAGCGGTATAAGGTGGGAAACATTCTTTTTAATATCAAAAGTAAAATGACCTCTACTTGAACTGCACCTGATCTAATGGCGGCAAGTTCTGATGTTTACTTCCTGTTAGAGACTCTCGAGGTATCATTTGTAATTTATTCAGTTCGTACAACAAATCAAGTCTTCGTTGTTCCTTGAACCCGGGGAAATTATGAGGTGTTTAGAGTTATGTATGGGGTCAATGCTGTTAACATTAAAAGGAGACACTGGTCGTCAAAAAAACGGTATAGCTGTGGGATCTTCAGAACTAAAAACAGATGGATTAGTGAGGTGATCTGTTTCTGCAAGAAACTAGTTGCTATACTTGAACGACAAATATTTTGTGAATAAGCATATTGCATTTGATGACCTTTATCACCAGATAAACAAGGCATCAGCTAGCGTTAGGTTTCCTGAAGAGGTTGAATCAGACACATATAGAAATTGGCCTTCACTAATGGAAAATGCTTCAGATTCAGATAAATTAGCTAGAACCTGGAACTAAAGAAAGCTGATGAAGAGGTCAGAGTGACCCTCATGAGTTCTTGCTGCTGAATTTGAATTTGAAAAGTGTTACTTAGACAGAAATTCTAAGGAAACGCCCTTTAAAATCTCTCAGTGAAACATACTTCGCTATCAGTCTATGAATGACACTTTCTAGCTAGAAACTAGCAGGGCAGCACATTGAAGACAACCTGACAAATACGCATGCATATACCAGCTGACACGTTCCTGTGGATCTGTGTGAATTGCTGCTCCATGCGAACGCTTGTAAGACGTGGTTAGGAGTACTACTCAACCTGCCTATTAGGTTCATCATTATGTTTTAATGTTAGAAATATTTGCAATCGGTTTTGCAGTTAAAAAGTGATAATCACATTGGAAGTAGAGGAGACAGCAGATAATGGAGTAAAATTTAGATGAGCTACCCAAACTTCTTTATGCTACTTGCAACCCAAAGAACGTTT